CCAGCAGAGGGATGCAAGATGATAAAGCTGTGTGAACGGCAGAGCTGGGAGAGAGACCTCTAGGGACGGTCTCCCACAGGGATTCAGGTCCTCTGAGGAGCCTGGAGGGGCAAGCATTCCCAGGCCATCTCAGAGAGACAAGATGTCTGCTGTTGAGCATAAGGGTTTGGACAGGGCTGGGGTGGAGGGACGAGGCCCAGCGATGGCTGAGGAACCTTGCTTGGTCTCTTCACATTTCCCATGTTGTGCCGTCATCAAGGATGCAGGAGCTTTCTCTCTCGGGTGCCCGTGGTCTTGCAGACAGTGGCAGGCGTACTTACGTCTTACTTCATGCTGTGAGCATAAGGCAGGAAGGGGGGAAGAAAATAAGGCCCCACCAAGCATGGGGGTGCTCAGCCTGTGGCTGGCACAGGCTCCTCTTAGCAGCCAGAGTCTAGATGGGGAAACTGAGGCTGCAGGGAATAGAAGGAATTGTTGGGACCGCCACATAACACACTCCATGACTATCTCTCCTCCATAGGTCCCTGCTCTGTCCTCCTTCCTGAGCCAGGCCTAGGCCACACCCACTCAGTCATATACACTTGGCACACTGGTAACTGTTGCCCCTGCAGGAGGCCCCAGGCTGCTTGGGACCAAAAGCCCCTGCAGGGCCTGGTGGCCACATCGGTTCTGTAGTGATGAGGTTTTGAAATAAATGATTTCCTCATGTAGGAAGTGACATATAAGCATTGCAAAACTTTTTTTCAAAGAAAAAGAAGTCGCGTGTGACTCTGCCATGGCTGTGAACCTAGACAAGCCACCTCCATGTCTGGGTACAGGAACCTGGTCAGAGTGGGCTTGTCCTCTGCCCCAGAGACATGAAGACGTCCAGGACCGGGGTGGGCTGAGCTAACATGCCACGGCTTCAGCACAGTGCTTGTTTCAGAGGGTGTCCCCAAATGTTGTCCTCACCGTGACCGTGCTCCTGCTCCCTCTCATCTCAGAAAAGCCTGAGAGGGACATGATCCAGGAGCTGGGGAAACTAGGGCAGACAGACTGAGGTACGGAGCTGCAACAGCTAGCTGCTTGGCAGCCCAGCCCCAGCCCCAGAAAAGACTTCCTGGGAGCCTCTGCTTCCAGCTGTAGGAGCTACCAAGTTTCCCCAGTACTCACATGCACACCCACACCCAGAGAAGTGCTCACACAGGCACACATATACACACACGCACAGGAACACAGAACAGCGCTTAGCCAAGCACATGGTATGTAGAGACACACATGAATGTACACACACACGTGGGCACTCAGAAAACGCAGACAGACGGGTCCCACACACAGACATATAATGCAGTCTACACATGCGCAAGCACACATGTACAAACACATCCATTCGTGAATGCATGCGTGCAGTTACACACAGAGAGAAACTAGTACAATGTAACACGGATGTGTGTGTGCACACCCCATGCCCCCATAGAAGCACACTCTCCTGTCCTGCTGAGTCCTGCCATTACTCTGTGTGTCCCTTACTATCATCAAGACCCACACTGTATAAGTTGGCTGTGGACCCCAGGTTCAGATCCCTTGGTGTGGCAGCAACAGCACTCTTCTGTGCCTTTGTCTGCTTGTCAGCAAACTGGCACCAACAACGCACCCATGCCATGGGCTTAGACCAAAGTAACTTGTTTTAGCACTTAGCAACTGGCAGCCCGGCTGTTTCTAGTGCTCTGTCTCACCTGGCGTCTGACTCCAGCCGGCACGGCGCTCTTAGCTCCAACTCAGCTGTGCCGCACCGAGGACAGCAGCCAACACACAGCCGTGCTGGAACACGGTTAGCCAGTGGCACTTGGCGGCCTTCTGGGGTTTGAATTTAGAGTGTCCAAAGCAGCAGGGCATACACCCTGGCCAAGCGAGCTGGCCAGTGTCTGTGGAGCTTGTTTAGATGTTTCCCGTTCACGAGGCTTGGGGGGGGGGGGGGGCGGGTAGCGGCAGAGTGGCAGGTGCTGAGGGGGTACCTCTTTACTCTTGATACCCCTGAAAGCAAAACCGCATGGCCCTCACCACAGGGTGATTGTGCCCTGGCTTCTAAGCTGGGCCCATGGTCTAGGTGCCCCCTGGGGATTGTTTTCCTTTGCTTGTTAACCACGTCCAGAGCAGCCAGGAGCCGGGGTGGGACAGCATGGCAGGCGAGGCTCTTGGTTGAGACCCCAGCGTCTTCTGGCTCTAGCTGTTCCCCCCCATGGGAAGCCATCCTGCTCACACTGGCCAAGATTCCAGTCCTGGAGATGTCTTTGTGTATGAGGATGTCAACTAAGAATGACTGGCAGCAAACCATGAGCTGGTAAAATCACACACTTTTAGAGAAAGAAGAGGAAAGAACAAAAGAGAGCATCCTTGAGGGATTAGGGGAAAAGAGATGGAAACTGAAAACAGCTAGAAGATGGAAAATCCCATTAAAAAACACAGGAGAGGCCAGGCGGTGGTGGCACACACCTTTAATCCCACACTCGGGAGGCAGAGGCAGGAAAATCTCTGAGTTTGAGGCCAGTCTAGTCTACAGGGTGAGTTCCAGGACAGCCAGGGCTACACAGAGAAACCCTGTCTTGAAAAACCAAAACCAAACCAATGCAAAACAAAACAAAACAAAACCACCATGAGAAAATGTGGGTTGAAGACATCTGGACATTGATGGTACACAGCATGTCCCAGAGGACATGGGAAATACAGTTCCTGGTCAGAAGGGCCTCCAGGTTCTACCAGAGGAAGATCTTGAGGCACCCAGGAGTCACACAAAACGATGTGAGCCATGGATGGTGCTGAGGCTGTGTGAGACTCAATGCCGCACATCTGACCTATTGGCAGAAGTGGTACAGAAGGAGACAGAGTGGGCTGTCATCAATAGCCATCATTCTGGCACCATGAGAGTGTACCATGGAATAGAGCTCTGAGGACCCGTGGGAGGCTGAAAATCACTATCCCCGATTCCTGAAGACCAGAGCGCTAAGTGTGCAGGATGGGAGATGGTGACTGTAAGAAAGAGAAGCCAGGTCCCCAGCTGTGCAGTTCAGAGGCTCAACTGACAGCTGCATTGACGCCAGATGGCCTCATCAGAGGTGACTTAGAGTTCAAAAGGAGGAGGCCTCCTGTACACTTGCTGTGGGGTTAGACCGGAGCCTGATGGAGGCACTCCGCCAGCTCCCAATTCGCAGGAATGCAAAGGACAGAGACAGAGGAGGCATCAGATCGCAGCTCACTAGAACAGGCCAGTGTGCAAGGCACACCAAGAGACAGAGTGAAAGGCAGGTGTGAGCCAGCATGGGGACACACACCTTTAATCAACCCTATCACTCTGGAGGCAGAGGCACTCAGACCTCTGGGAGTCCAGGACAGCCAGGGGACACAGTGAGACCCTGACTCAAAAATATAAGTAAAATGCAGGGGTGGGAAAAAGTCTTCGGGTGGAGAATGCCTCCCTAGTAAGTCCTAAATGGTTGAAGAGGACACTATTAAGCTATATTGTCTAGGATAGTTGGTGATAGAACTATGAAGGAAAATCCACAGTGAGACAATGTCTGCAAAAGTTAGGGGAATGGTTAGGTTATCTCAGGGTGGGCAGGGGAGCACTGGGAAGTTTCTGCCACAAAAGTCTCATGTTGGTGTGGAACATGGTTAAAGGGTGATTGCTTTATGATAATTTACAAGCCGTGTGTGTGTGTGTGTGTGTGTGTGTGTGTGTGTGTGTGTGTGTGAGAGAGAGAGAGAGAGAGAGAGAGAGAGAGAGAGAGAGAGAGAGATTTACAAGGCTTTGCAATGGTAGTCCTACCTCGTTAGAATGTAGGTTGTCACACTAGCCTTCTGGTGGTCATTGTGCCTCCCTGCCCCTGTAGCTTTGTTTTAGTTTCCAACACAAACATGAACACCTGAGCCATTTGCAAGATGGGTTTCTGTTCCCTTCGTGCCACAAGGTGGTTGTTGTAACTACTACCAAGAGCATCAGAGGACTCCAACAGGGACCAGAGGGGCACTGGGTGGATGGTGACCTTGGTGCTTCCTAGAGCAGTTGGAATTGCAGCAGGCTCTTCAAGAGGCAGGGCCTGATGTGGACCAGGGTTGACAACTGACTTTTAGGACTGAGTCAGTCATTCTCCATCCTGGAGGATGGCCTGTGTGTTGTGGGGTACTCCAGCACCATCTCTGGCCTTGGATGCTAATGTACCACCTGGCAATAATGCAAAAATGGTTCCAGTAGTTGCAAAATGTCCTGGGGACAAACTTCTTTCAACGGGGAACCCCAGGTTCAGAGAAGCACACACAGGTAGGGCAGGAAGAGGCAGCCTCACTCCTGGGGAGGGTCTCTGCTGCTGCAGGTACCCTTCTCCTCTTTAGGTTTTGGGCCCATGAGAAACCAGTGCAGCTGTGCCCTCAAGTTCCCACTAATTCTTTTTTTGGCCCAGTATTTCCCCTGACCCCAGCCTTCCAGTGGGCCTGGCTGCAGTCTGGCTGGGAACCCACCACTGAGAGGCCCCTGCCCCGGGTTTTATCCAGAGTCCAGGCATGGAACACAGACACTCTGGGTCAGAACATGTGAGCTAGCCTCTGCAATGAGGAGGTGCAGACATCAGGAGGGAAATACTCTGCCCACACTTTAGCAATATCACCTGGCCATGAACTATTATGGGGCCTGGCTTGTAGTCATCAGCAGGAGAGTTAGTATGAGCCTACCCAGCAGGGCCTCTCCATGAGTGTGGGGAACCTGCGACCTTAGGGAGAGTACTGGCTGGTGACGGTCAGAGCCTGAACAGCACATCCAGTCAGATGTCTAGGGAGATGGCATTTTGTTCAAAGCGCCATTATTAAGCAAGCATCTACTACATCCTAAAAAAAAAAAACCAAAAACTTTTGTTTTGCTTTCTGAGGATGGCCTTGTGTGTTGTGCCACCATTCCTGGACAGATCTTTCCTTGATGGCTTTTAAGCTCCCACAGACGGGATCCAGGCAGTCATCAGCCTTAAACCAGAGACTAGGCATTAGAGTTTATGTGCTGCTAGACAGCTGGGGACTCTGACGTTGTTACTGGGGCCCTGTTACCAACATCCGTTATTACAGGAGGAAGAAAGAGGATCCCATGTGGTCCAAATTAGGAGAGCTATGCGCTTTGGGGCCTTGTCTTCCTTAGCAGTAGCTGCCACAGCAAGAGAGGGCCAGGGAAAGGCCGGGTTCCCAGTTCCAGTTGGACTTGCTGAGACTTTCCTTTGAGACTGAGGATTCCACCGTTTACTCACAAGTTTTCAAAACCTCTTGGTGGTCCGCAGGGCTCCATGGTCCTTTCTGCCTCATCTGCACCAAGGAAGGGCATGTGTGATCCTAACGCGACGGGAAGCTCCTAGAGGAACAAAGGGGCGTGGACAGTATTGTGGGCTCACTCCTACGTGGTACCCTTCCCGGATGCAGCCAGGCCGCTTCAGAGAGCAGAGAAGCCCTTTAGCAAGGGCTGCTAGGTGCTCGCTCCTCCACCTCCCCCTTGCAGGGCAAGCTGGCCCAAGCCACTCTTGCCAGGGGAGGGGTGGCCTCAGCCTGCAGTTTCTTACAAAGCAAGGAAGTGTGATCTCACCAGAGGTAAACCGAAGGGCACTTCCTCTTTCGCTGCCTGGGCCACCTTCAGAAGGTTCTCAAAGTTGCAGAAACAAAATGTGTCCTGTCCAGCATGGTGGTTCAGATGGGAAGGTGAAAGCAGGAGGATCAGGAGTTCTGGATCGTTCTGGACTATAAAGCAAGTTCAAGGCCAGTCTGGGATTAATGAGGTCCTGTCTCCCAAAACAAAAACACAAAACAAAAAATACCACCCCAACCCCAAACCACAACAAAATCAATCAAGCAAACAAGAAAAGAAAGGTTTATAAATCAGGTGAACCAGGTGATGGATAGTGTTGGAGGCTCAGAAGTGGCTGACACTAGCCCCACCCTACCCCAGCCAGTGCACTGAACTGAGTGACAGAGGGTTTAAATGGCTCCCAAGCCAAAGGCTCATTGATGGCAGTAGACAGCTGTACCCTGCTGAGACATTGAGAATGTCTAGCTAGCAGACTTCCAGAGAGGAGGAGCTTTCACCTGGAGAAGGGAGTTTACATCAAAGAGGGTATTGATGGACACACATCCTGCTCCCTATCCCCTTCCTGGGGCCTCCTCCCTAGAAATCAGAGAGCTTGCTTACAGATTCCTGCTGGGAAACCACTTCCCCATCCTCAGAAAAGTATGAGCCCCCGACTTCTGCCACAGGAGCCCTGAATCCTTTCTTGTCCCTGTAGTGTTGTCTGTCCTTAGACAGACTCTCCTTAGAGCTCCTGCCATGCCATTATCTATCCGGCTGTCTGCCCATGGCATTAACGACGTCTAGTACTCAACTGGACCCACAACACGGGACGTTTCTCTGTGTCTTTTGTCACGTGCTTGGCTGGGAAGGACAACATTCAACAACATCAGGAAGCATCCACCCTGGCCTGGCTATCTATAGCGCCTGATTGTTGCTTCCTTTCTGGTGAAACAGACCATGACACCCACCAATGGGGGTGAGTAAGTACTTCCTGGGCTTGTGTTGAGCACTCAGTGCAGAATACCTCACCTCTGGCACCTACCTGTGCAGACGACCCCCTTCAGACACAGACGGCAGGCTGTCCCTTGTGCTTCTGAATGACTGGTTGGAAATCAGAGTTCCTACACCCTCCTCAATTCTACTAATTTGCTAGTGTAGGTCATGGGGCTCAGGACCCTCTGCTTATCCGTTTCTATTCATGGTGAAAGAGGTCACAGGGTGCAGGTTAATGCAGATAGAAGATGTTCAGGGCAGAGGGCAGAGGGCAGAGCTCCCTCCCAAGCCATGGAAGGCTTCCGAAGGGGAATCTTGGGAAGAGGGTCACCGTGGTCCTGGACAAGACACAGATGAAGCAAGCTGTTACAGAGGCCAGCATGACAAAGGCATGTGGGGAAAAATCTCAGTGGCAGAGCATGGACATGACATTTTGTCACATACCTGGGGGAATGTCTCAGTGAGAGTTTCTATTGCTGCACTGAAACACCATGATCAAAAATCAAGTTGGGGAGGAAAGGCTTACTTGTCTCACACTTCTATATTACTGTTCATCACTGAGGAAGTCTGGACAGGAACAGGGCAGAACCTGGAGTCAGGAGCTGATGCAGAGGCCATAGAGGAGTGCTGCTTACTGATGCTCCCCATGGTTTGCTCAGCCTGCTTTCTTACAGAACCCAGGACCACCAGCCCAGTGATGGCACCGCCCACAACTAGCTGGACCCTCTCCATCAATCACTAATAAAAAAAAATGCCTTACGGGCTCGCCTACAATCCCATGGAGGCATTTTCTCAATTGAGGTCCCCTCCTCGGAGGACTTCAGCTTCTGTCTAGTTGACACAAAACCATGCAATACAGGGTCACTGGGCCGCTGAAGGAAGCAAATGTAGGGGCTGCAGACGCTCTCAGGTCACCTCACACTTGTGCTGCTCTGGGAAAGGCAGCAAGTCCTCTTGTGCGGATTGTCCCTGTGCTTTTCGTGTAGCGGCTCCGACTGAGTGTGTGTCGGGACTCCTGGAGGAGCCGTTCAGAAGCGCCTGAGATGACGCAAGTGGGAGATTCTCTACGGCTGGCGCCCACTCTGCCCTCTTCCGATGACGCAAGTGGGAGATTCTCTACGGCTGGCGCCCACTCTGCCCACCTCCTCCTCCTCCTCCTCGGGTAGAAAGAGTGAGGCTGGCTCTGTGTCCGTGGCTGACCTTTCCTCATGGGGCCCTGGGGGTGGGGCAAGGGACAGGAGAAAGATGGCCAGGAGTCAGAAAGGTTCTCCCAATGTCCTTCAGCCCAGAGTCCCAAGCATGCCCAAATACTGCAGCCTGGGGTGTCGAGTTGTGAACCCCAATAATAGTGACACTACACAGACGGTTCTAAGCTCAGCAGTGGCACACCACGCCAGCATCCCTCCATGTGTGAGGCCCGCAGAAGCACTCTCCGAATCCTGCCGATGCTGAAGAACCCACGGGGTCCAGCGTGGGCCACTTTCTCTTTTTTTCTGGTCAGAGTCGTCAAACGGGACCTCAGTCAGATCTTTCAAGTGCAGCCTAGGCACAAGGTTTCCAGCAGAACGCCGAAGCAGGAAGAGCAGGTGTCTAAATGTGGAAAATCAGATCGAGAAGAAAGTGCCTTAAGGAAATCTAAGGTCAAGCTCTGACGTAAATCGCAGCCAGAGCGGTGAGTGACACAGTCTCTCTCCCCAAGGAGTTTGGGGACCAAAATTCTTGGGAACTCATCAGAGCCTGAGATGATCTTGGTCTATATAAGGATAGATTATCTTACATAAACGAATTATCTTACACAAACAAATTTAGAGAAAGAGTTCACAGCAATGGGAGGGAGAGGACAGACTGACAGTCTGACTCAGCGCTCTGTTCACATTTCTCTTTGTTTTTCTTTTGAGTATGTGTGGGGGTTCAAGACAGGGTTTCTCTGTGTAGCCCTGGCTGTACTAGAACTCACTCTGTAGACCAGGCTGGCCTAGAACTCAGAGATCTTCCTGCCTCTGTCTTCTGAGTGCTGGGATTAAAGGCATGCGCCACTACCACTGGTTCACTCACAATTCTTTAAGAAGGAACCCGTGTGACAGATGGCCTAACCAGTAAACGTGTTTGCCGCCAGACTGACAACCTGAGTGTGCTCCCCAGGACTTACATGGTAGAAGGAGAGAACCAATTCCTGCAAGATGCCCTCTGACCTGCACACTGTGGCATGTATTAGCGCTCGCACGCACGCGTGCTCGCGCGCACACACACACACATATACACACACAATAATAATAATTAAAAAAACTGAACTGGGAGCTAGAGAGATGACTCAGCAGTTAAGAATATTTGCGTCTCTTGCAGAGGACTCAGGTTCTGTTCCCAGCACCCACATATCAACTTCTATCTGTAACTCAAGTTCTAGGAGATCTGAAGCCCTCTTCTGGCTTCTTTTTTTATTTTAATAATTTACTTATTTTTATTTTATGTGCATTGATGTTTTGCCTGCATATATGTCTGTGTGAGGGTGCCAGATCTGCTGGGACTGGAGTTACAGACAGCTTGTGAGCTGCCATGTGGGTGCTGGGAATTGAACCTGGGTCCTCTGGAACATCAGCCAGTGCTCTTAACCACTCAACCATTTCTCCAGCTCCCCTCTTCTGGCTTCTGATGGCACCAGGTACATATGTGTTACACATACATACATTCAGGCAAAACACTCATACATACCAAAGTTTAAAGATCTTTTAAACAAATTAAAAGGAAGGGCCTAACAGTAATAGGCTTAAAATAATTGTAAGGAAAAAGAAAGCCCATAGTAAATACAGAACCACAGGAGCTTTCTTTGTAAATCCTCCCCATCTACGCTTGAGCCAGTGGAATGAGGTGGAGGCCCCTGGGAACGGCACCGTGGAGGTCCTCTCACGAGGCTCGGTGTCCCCAGCCCGCTTAGGGGCATCTTTGACTCGGAGAAGCACAGTGGTCAGAGGTTGCCAGCCAGGGTCCAGCCTGGACCAGGCTCCACTCCAGGTTCTGGGTCCTTGTCACTCATGGCAGATCACTGATCTTCAAGAAAGCAAAGCCAGCACCACACACAGGAAGTTGTCAACACCACCCACAGGAAGCTGTGTCTACAAAGCAAGTTCCAGGACAGCCAGGACTGTCGCACAAAGAAATCCTGTCTCGAGAGAAAAAAAAAAAAAAAAAAAGGAAGGAAGGAAGGAAGGAAGAAAGGAAGAAAAGAAAAGGTCTACATAAGATCTGGCTGTAAAGCATTTTCTTAGTTATTGATGGGGGAGGGCCCAGCCCAATGTGGCCAGTTCCATCCCTGGACTGGCCATGGGAAGAAAACCAGTAAACCACACCATTCCATGATCTCTGCATCAGCTCCTGCCTCTAGAATCCTGCCCTATTTGAGTTCCCGTCTGGCATTCCTTCGATGTGGAAGTGTAAGCCACATAAACCCTTTCTTCCCCAGCTCACTTTTGGCCATAGCATTTTGGTACAGCAATAGACACCCTAAGAGCCCACCTTTTATGCCTCCCTGCCAGGCTTTTCCTGATCATTTGATGGGGCTCATCAAAGGCAGGTGTCACCATACTGACTTGTCCCATTTGGCAGAATGGAGACCTGGCTCCAACCGCTGCTCCTATCTGTGCCTCTTTCCTCTAGCCGGGGAAGAATTCCTAGAAGCATGGGGAAGTGGGTGTGACCCTTCCTTTCCCTTGGCTCTGAGAGCATCTCTCCGTAGCTCGAGCAAGAACTCAGGAGCTTTGAACAGACATCCTAGTGGGTCAGGGATGAGTGTGGAATTGGAACCTATAACCTGGGCATAATCTGGGCTTGGGCACCTATGCAGCCTCCAGGCCACCACTCCTGGGTCCTGGCCTACCTCTGGATGAGAAGTGAAGAGAGGCAGATGGGATGGAGTTGACGCCTGCTCTGACTTCAGGCAGGCTGACCAACTGGGAGGTCAGCCTCAAGCTTGTAGGGACCACACTCTCCTCTGCAGGGTAGTGGTAGGGTCTGGCCTTGGTGATGCTTGAAAATAATATGCCCTGCCCTGCACTGGCCTCCCTGCCCCGGGTATTGGGCTGCAGGAATCCTCAGAGAATAACTTTGCCTTCACCTTCTTCACAGCGGAACTGGGTTGTACTGTTCGAGGCTGGCTCACAGTCCAGCCTCCCAGAAACGCCCTCCGAGTTCACCAGTTCCTTCATCTCTGTTCCTTGTAACCGGGGCATCATTTCCCGAACCTGGTTGAACCCCTGCCCTAAGGCATGGGGAAATAGGGAGGCTCAGGTCACTCTAACTTCAGTCAGCATCCACCTTGCCTGAGGCCAGCTGGAGCTTGCTCACAAAAGGGTTTTACAGCCTGCAGAGACAATGAATCAGAGGAAGCCTTTGAACTTTCACTGAACCGGTTGTTGGGGTTAGAGTTGCCTGAGCTTAGCCAGAAGGTCTTACAATTTCTTTTAACAATAATATTCCACTGAGGGAGAGATTATCACAAGGCAAAATTTCAAAACTGCCTGCATAGGGGCTGATGTGGCTGAGTGACGCGGGCCCATCTGATAATGGGGACTGCAGCAGGCTCTGGCTTTGACAGAGAAGAGATCAGATGTGACCCGGGCTTTCTGGTGTACACATCTCTGCTCCTAGCATATAGCTGTTGCCCTTTGGCTACATAACTGACCTGCCTGAGCCTTGGGAACCCTGTGAAGCAGGGTGTCAGCTTTGGGCAATGGGCAGCCATCCTCACAACTGTCCTCATTGCCATGGTCAAACCTTGCCACAGTGTGTCCTCCCCTGACCTCTC